CACCCTGTATATGTATATATAACAAATAATTATATAAAGAGAAATCTAAATTTTTAAATTTATTTTAAAAATTTTATTTTCTATATTCTCGTGTTTAGTTACACAAAATATTTCTCTGAACTTTATAGATTCAAAGATATTTAAGGTGTCAATTGTTATTAACCCACCCTGTATATTCATACGTATAAATATGTATATATGTATATATGTAAATATATACGTATATAATATATTTAATGTATATGGTATTTCATCAATACCAATAAGTCCGCAGAATGATACACAAAACGTAGTAACAGCCGCGGAACAAAGTAATGTAAAATATTAAGTACGGAATTTTCCATTACGTAGGCGGGTCAACGAATTCTCAACGTTTTTTTGTTGTTTTTCACTCGGCGCGGTGACGTACGATGTTTTTGCGTGCTATCGTGTACGTGAAGGCGGTGAAGATCGCCCTGCTATCATTTGCTCGCCGAACGTCGAGCCGGCAAGCAGTGCACAGTGGCGAGAGTCGCTCCGTGCGTAGTATTACTTTTACATTATCGGTTTCCAAGACTTGATCGCGATGAATGGAAGGATAACACGCTATTGATTTGTACACCTTTATTAGTAACAAGTAACGTTCCTCGATTAATTATCAAGTTTCTACAACTTGTAATGAGAAACGAATTGCGTGTTGAGGCGACGGCTCTTTATTAACGTATACATAGATATTTCACGCGACTAACTCATCTAAATTATGAATGTAAACCGTTGTACTTTGTCGCGGTTACATCTCAACTCGAATGGGCAGGAAGTAAACAAAGTCGCTTATCGCACGTCGTTACGTTATGTAAACGTAATCGGAAAATTATCTCGATTAAATGTTGCAATTAATAACTATTTATCGCTGGAAACTTTGCTCACACAATTTATTTCGAGGATTAGATTGAAGGACTAAGATTGTAAAATATCGTTTCGTTGAGGACTAATAACTATTTCTTTACCGTGGATTATGCTTCCGATGCTCGCGTTGCTTTTTATATCATCAATTCAATAGTGATTTATCCATTTCCTATTCTTCCGAATCAAAAATGCAAATTTTTGGTAATATTTCGTGCGTTTCGCGGTATCTCACATCGCGTACGGCAGTGCCCGAAATTTCGCGCGATCGATTATTTTCACGAGTGAGTGTTGTGCGAGTGCAACAAGGAAATCTGAGAGGAGGAGCAAATACGCGCATTCGGATGCTAGTAAAAGCAAGAATGAGGAGATTGAGTGCAAGGAGTGCAAACAACACGAACAAATTAATTGTACGTGTAATTATAAGTGCAAGCTTCATTATATTTGCATATATGTATACGTATACGAACGTGCGTGTATATATCACGAGACACGGTAGTGTTTCGCGCTAAGTATAAGCACAGCTAGGACCGCGCGTGCGAGACCGACCGTGTTACGTTCGCTCACTTGCGGATGTCGTCGACGATGCGAGCATGTATGACAAAAACTTATTGGACAGTGTCGTTCCACTCGTGCTTTTATCTGCCCCTATTTACTCCTCCCCCCTTCCTCGCGTCAAAATTAAAGTCGAGATTATTTAAACAAAAATACGTTTACTCGTATATTTAGTAAGTACATCCATTTATGAGTAGAAGAGTGTTTTACAAAATCAATTATTATGTATCTATAATATATGCTTTATTTCATTTTAAGTCAAAATTGCATCAAAATATGAACAAAATATTTTCTTAATACCAATTAACGGTACGTCATAAACAATATGTAATGACAATAAACTAAAAACAATCACAAATTGTGATATACAATAAACTGTCTATAGACAGTACACACACTAGATATTTTCAATATGTATTCCAATAGAACAATACATCTTTTATCGTCCAGTATTAAAAAAGATTCTTAATGAATAATATATCTAATTATTATTAATGAATAGTAAAATAACAAATGTTAATAAAACTAAAAAAAGAAAGAAATTATCATATGTAATTTTAAAAGGATCGTATACAATCCTTTCATGTATATACAGACTTGTTCTGGTAAAGAAATACAAGCATGTTAACATTTTCAGGAGACAAACAATTTCGTTTTGGGGTAACAATATTCCCAGCTGTAGAAAAAGTACGCTCCGCACTCGCCGATGTCGCAGGAATACTTAAATATTTTCTAGCTAAAATGGCCAATGCTGGAAATTTATCAGCTCGTGTTTTCCACCACTCTAAATAATCTAAATCAACTCGCAGTTGTGGCTCTGAAAGATAAGCTTGAAATTGAGATTCCACATCATTAATACAATGCATTGGCTGATAAAATAAAAACCTTAAAGCAGTTTTGTGTTCAGTTTTTTCTAGGTCATCTTGTGCATTAAATGTTGTGTTTATTGGTACTGTATCCATAAGACTGCGGACATGTTCTTTTACCTTTTGCCTTGTCTCAACTAATTCGTTTTCTAAATTCTTGGATCGAGGATCCAAGAATGAGGCAGTAAGGCGTGCGCTTACGTTGGAGAAATTTTCCCATTCGGTGAGCTTAAAGCGCTTCTGCAATTCTGTGGAGACGAATTGTTTAAATGTAGCTGTTAGATCCGAATCTTGAAAAACCAATTGCATATGATGGTGGACTAGCTTCCAAATTAATGGACGCACTATAGACGCAGGAGAGTAGTTGTCTCCACAAAAAACCGTTGTGGCCATTTGCAATGGTCTCAACAGATTTGCTAATTCTTCCATCTTCGTCCATTGTTCCTCCGTTATTTCAAGTTTTTTAGCTATAGAAAAAGTAGTCACATTTCTATCAGCTAAAACATTTGATATGGGCAAACGGTTTGCAATAAGTCTTTCCAACATCTCAAATGTGGAATTTCATCTTGTTTTGACACTCTGAATTAATTTTAATGGCTTTATATTTAGTTGTGCTTGCTTTGATTGCAAAGCTGTGGTAGCTACAGTTGAATGGCGAAAATGCCCTACTACTTTTCCAGCCTTCTGACAAATCTCTTGTATTTCTGGATATGCTAAAGCTTCATTTACGACAAGCTGCAGAGTATGAGCTGCACAAGTAAGACCGTCTTGCTCTTGAATTTCTATCATATCACGCACTGCATTCACAACATTAGTCGCATTGTCAGTCACTACCGCTGATACTTTTCCAAAAATTTCCCATTTGGTAAAAATTTTGCCCATAGCATCAGAAAGGTTAGTTGCTGTGTGGCGCTCTATCATCAGCTGAGTCGAAAGGGTATACGATTTGGGTTTCCACTTATCATTTATTAAATGTACTGTCATGGTAAGGTATGAATGTTGTGCTAATGATGTCCAGCAGTCAGAAGTGCACGCCAGAGTGGATACAGCTCTCAATTCTTCACGAATTTTGTCCTTAACTTCAGTATACAAATTGTCTAATCTTTTTTTAAAAGTATTTTCTTTGCAAATTTTATAATTTGGCTCAATAACAGACATAAAATTAATAAAACCAGGACATGAGACGAATGATAGAGGAAGTTGAGTCGTAGCAATCATCTTCGTTAAACTTTGATCAATGATTTCTAACCTTTCGTCACTGCATGAACGTCCGTTGTTGTAAATGCTCGTAGGACGTCGATGACGCCTCCTACGATTTTGTGTTGAAAATTCTTTATTTGACAATATGGGTGAACATGGAGTGGCCGAAGATGATGATAGTGTTGAGGAATTAGATACTAATAGATTCTCCTCTGATTGTCTGTCTTTATCTGAATTATTATCCAGATTTTCCTCATCCACATCTTCATCGTGAGATAGTCTAAAAATGAGACCATTTGAAAAAATTATAGCGAGGTTTAACGCCGTGACACGTAGACAAGTGCGCTTTTAAAAAAGAACACGGTAGTGTTTTACATTTAATATACGAGCAAGTGACTCACAAGCGGCAAGACCGACCGTACACAGAAAGAACAGTTTTGTATAAATACACAGGGTGTGTCCTAATACCCGTATCACCCGTAAATGGCAGATAGACCGGGGCAAACTGAATAGAAAAGTCCTATACCATTTTGCAAAATTTGCAATAGTTATCGAGAAATTAATTTTAATGTCTGAGCGAATGAGAGCGTAGAAGGCGGCAGGCCGGACTCGGCAAGCAACGGTGGGGCATCATCTAATAGCGAGAGGTGGAACGACGCGTCGAAAAAAAGTTGTCACTCAGCGATCGGCGAGCTTCAGTATACATACACTCCCCGCTCGCCCCTCACCGCTCGCCCCCCGCCACGCGTCGTTCGCCCCACGCCCCGCGTCGTTCGTTGCTCGACGCTCGGCTCTCACCCCTTGCCCCTCACCCCTCGTCATTTACATGTGATCGAGCGTTATCATAAAGCAATATGCATATTACAGGTTGCTTAAAGCGTAATTGCTGGTGCA